AGTATCTTCAGTAAAAAAACCCTAGCAATGGTGAAGGAAAAAAGAACGAATGAGAACCGGTGCATACACTCATCACTTAAATGAGTCATGTAAGTTCTAGTATCATCGCTAGGATGTGTATCACCGATAATAGATTTTTGAAAGCCCGCATATAGGGTCAATTAGGGTTTTCTTATTAATTGGGGATAGAAATTAGGGTTTTCTTAAAAAGATGAGTCAAACACGGTCAAAATTACTGTCCAGCATGGCAAAATAGTACCACATCAGTAGCCTAACGGGTCACATCAGAATTTTGCCACTTTAATAACGATGGTTATCGGTTGAGTGACCAATTTATTATAAATTAATAATATTAGTGATCATTTTGTAACTTTTAAAACTTCAATGAAAAAATGTAAACTTACTAAAAATTTAATGACTATTTATTATGTTTACCCACTTTAGTAATGTTTAGGGGACGTTTGGTTTACGGAAAATATCATTACCAAATGGAATGATATTTTCTGGAGTTGTATTCTCTTTTTTGATTCACGGAAAAGATCATTATCAAGTAATAACTTATTACCAATATTATCATTTTAGGTTAAAAGGGTGGAAATGTCATTGCCTCCAAATTCATAGGTAATGAACAATTCCTACCAATTTGGACATAAATACCCCTGAAATAATAATTTTTTTTCATATGAATCCTTCTTAATTCTTATTCTTCGTGTTTTACTCAAAATTATAAACTTAATAATATACAAATAGTTTAATTTAATAAAATGTTAATAAGTTTAAGTAATTAAAATTATTTTATATTTTTAATATTTAGTAAATTAATTATTTTATAATTTTATGAGGTGAAAATATTATTATTATAAAAATATAATTATTTAATTTTGAGTTATTAAAAAATAGATATTATACATTAAAAAATAATATATTTGTCTACAGAGATCACAATATTATTTTTCATATTATATTATATTTTATATAAATAAATATGATATTTATGATAATTATTTTAAATTATAAGTTTGATATACTAATTATATTAATTATATGTTAAATGTATTTTTTATACCCATATAATGTAATAATTAAAATATTTATAAATTTTCATTTAAATGTTTATAATTTAATATTAAAGTTTTACTTGTTAAAAAATATATATCACATGGATAATTGGTAAAATATGCATTCAATTAATATTATATTTCTCAAACCAAACATTGTAATCTTACATTACTGTTAAGCAAACCAAGCAGAGTAATACAACATCCTCAGGGTGTGTTTGGTTGGGGGGAATGTGAGATTCCCATGGGAATGGAATTCACATTCCCCCGTTTGGTTGACCGAGAATGTCATTCCCGGTAATCTTACATTACTAATAGTAGATTTTTTGGGGTATATTACCAGAAATGTCATTACTTCCCTTTTCTTAGGTATTTTTGGATTACCAGTGTTTTAGACTAAAATGCCCTTAAAAATTTTTCTTTCAAAAATATTCTTATTCTGTCATTAAATAATAAAAATTCTACGAATGTTAAATTACAAATTTATCCTTAAACTATTTTAGATTTACAAAAAAAAGTCTATAATTAAAATATTATTTGAAGTTCAAGGGTTAAAATAAAATTTTACCCTTTCATTAAACCTTTTTATATTTTCAATTTTGTAAAAAATATATATATAAATTTTATGAATTTAAATTTTTTAAAGAAAATATATAAATATTTTCCAACTTGTTAAAAAACAAATATATAATAAGGACAATTTGGTCAAATATACATTCTAATAATATTTTATTCCTTTAATCAAACACAGTAATCTTACATTCCTGCTAAACCAACCAAACACAAAATACAACATTCCGTAATTATATTCCCTGATAATCTTTTATTCCCACTGGTAATTTAACATTCCGTAAACCAAACGCACCCTCGTAGTAATGTTATATTCTGGTAATCTTATTCATAAAGGTAATCTTACATCATGTGTACGAAACGTATCCTTAGGTAAACAACTCGTTGAAAGATGACATGAGTTTCCCTTCCTCGAGAATGGAGAGAATGAGTATTTGCTTGTGTCTAATTAGGGTACAATGTTTGTGTCGGAAAGGAGCAAAGCTTCTAGGAGCAGCTATTGGAATTGCTTATGCTTATGTCTTGAGCTCTCTGAAAAATTCTGTAGCCAGGAATCCTTTTCTTGTTTGGCCAGCTGAAATAAAATCCTTGGGCTAGTTGGCTAATCTGGAGCAAGCTTAATTCTGAATCTGTTGAGTCTTCTGCGGCTCTAGTTCTTTGACTATAGACCAATGAAAAGAGGGCTCAGGCATAACATAAGGACGATATCGAATGTCTGAATCCGAAGCTATCGCCGATAGAATGAGAAGTGAAATCGAAGTTTCCCGGGCTTCTGTGACGGAGGTTTTCTTAGTCGACCTAATCAAACAATTCCCCTCGGCATAGTTGAAATTCAAGTCTTAGTTCTTCCCACTTGGAAGAGCGGTGAACACCTTTCTAAAGTAAAGATTTGGCTCGGATGGATCCGATAGGATATTTTCACGCCTTGGCGTCTGGTTAAGACTTCCCCCCCGTCCTTCTCCTTAGGCTGGTTGAACCTTGAGATAGAAGAGCAATATGGAGGGTTTCTCCTGAAAAAAAGTTGAAACCATTCGTTTCATATACTTTCTTGTTGGTCTTCCGCGGCATCTTCAGAGGTCTAGGTCTTCTAGGATAGGAGAATCCTTTGGAAGAAAGAGCAGCGGCCAATGCTGGAACTAAGTGAATATTCTGTCTTTGAAATGGAAAGGGGAAAGCCAGCTAATTTCCCGAACCCCGACCTCTATCGTCTAGAGCCATCTATCCTTTCCTTGCTTCTGGCTCTGATGTAGCAGTAAGGGTGATGTAGCAGTAAGGGTGGGCTGAATGGTCAACCAATTAATACTGAAAATTTGTTTTGGCAACCAATTGTTTTTGCAATTGGTCAGTAATATTATGTTTTTATTCTAAAATGATCACTAATAGTTTAAAAGGTAAAAAAATGGTAATGTGGTCTAATATAATAATATTTTTAGTCTCCAAAATATATATACTCTAAAAGTAATTTATTGAATTTAACTCTTTAACTTTGATATTCATTTTAATTTTAAATAATTAAATAAATTAATAAATTCGCATTCTAATAAGATGAAAACAACATATAATTTTATTTTACAAAAAATAACACATATAATTTTATTGGTGAAAACTGAATAAAAATATAGACTAGTTTACGTGATATCAAACCTAGGGTAAATAAAACTTAACTCTTGTATCAAAATAAATAAAATATAAATTATCATTTCTATCATCTATAAAAATAAATAAAATAAAATCACATTAAATTTTATCTTTTACATACGTCTTATTTCATTTTAATTTTTCTTTAATTATTTTGCAACTTCTAAATTCCTAACGATAACATTTGACAACTTAAACATTAACTTCCTCCTAATCAAAAAATTATTTTATGAATCATTCTTACCACATTGGATATAAACTCAGCCAATAAAATTAAAATATGTCAGTAATTTTTTTCCTGATTTAAATTTAGGGTAGAATTTTAATAAATTATTTATTTCTATATCAACATTAAATCTCCATCACCAATGGGTTGGTTCAAGTGATAAACAACTCGATATTCCTGAAGCAATGTCTCAGGTTCAAGTTATTGTGTATGCAGAAAATCCTCGTTGAGAGACTCACCCGCCAAAGCTAAAGCTAGGTGTGTGGCCCGGGTCAGTGTAGATTAGTCAGGGCGAAGCCTTAGAACCGAGCAACAACAAAAAAAACATTAAATCTCCATCTCTTCTTCAACTTCTGAACTCTCTCTCTTCGTTAAAAGTTTGCAGAAAAGTTTTTCATCTTCATATCGAACATATCCAATATTAAATGCAGATAGAACAATTGCATTTTTCACAATATTGTACAGATGCCGTTCGGTTTTTGGTGATTCATATGGAAAACATCGAGAATAGGGAAAGGCCAGGGGAACTGATAAATTCTGATGCAATTTATCCCACTTGAATTTACCTTAAAATCTCATGCTTCATAACACCCACAACAACTTGTTATGCATACGATCAATTCATAACCCTAAAGCACCAAAACAGAACTTCGATATGGAAATATTACTTTAACTCTGTATATTAAAGGAACTAGAAAATTAAAAAACTATTTATCTAAAACCATGGAGTAATCAGTTTTGCTGAAAAAATTAATTGTTATGATATAAAACTGAAAATTTTACGTTTTAATTACTATGATGTAAAACTAAACAATTTAATCAATTTTGCTGAAAATTTTAATCATATGATATGAGGATGAAAACTTTAATTACTACGATATTAAGTTTAATCACTCTAAAATCAGAATCCAGTTATGTTAAACCTTAAAATAACTCTAATCACTGTCAATTTCAAACTTTATGACTAAAAATATATATCAATTGGATTCTCAAATAGAAATAAAAGAATTTCTACAAAATTTTAACGAAGGGGGAGAGTTAATAGGTTGAAAAAGATATGGAGATCTAATGTTGAAATAAATAAATAATTAAAAATTAAATCTAATTTAATGATGAATAAAAAACTTGATTACATATTTTAATTTTATTCGTTGAGTTTATAGGAGAGTTAATAAAATAATTTTCCTTGCGAACCAAACAAGAGAATCTTAATCCAATACCGTCGGTTGTGGAATTGGTGGCAAATTTCTTTCTTCTTTGCTCTCCTAATTCTTCTTCTCTTTATTATTATTATCTTCCTTTTCTCTTTCTTTGTATTTCACCAGCTATCACATGCTTCTCCAATCCATAAAGGAATAAAACTGGCCGGAGAACCTAATAAAAAAATGGATCAAAAGCCAACAAACTTCATCATGTACTTTTCTTTTCAACTTCATTAACATGGAACAAAGTTAAGTTTCAAAGAATTCAAAGAATGATGCAACAAGTAAAGCTCCCCCACATTGATTCTAGTAATGACAATCAACCAAAGAAGATGACGAAAAAAGCAGTAGTTTCCCCTTGGAAGAAAACGAAAGCAGTTTAGGTTCCTTGTGAGGATCATCTTCCGGTGCTGGAAGATTAAGATCCAATTGCAGAACACTTCTTGGTTTGTCGGGCAGTTCTGTTGTACCGACAGCGTTCAAGTTTGTCGTCGTCGGAACATTATTACTTAATGTCTTGTGCCTTCTCATATGACCTCCAAGAGCTTGTCCCGAGGAGAACTCAGCCCCACATATGGAACACTCGTGAACCCTAGATTTGTTGCTTGAAACAGAAGCCTTGCTCGTTATTTGAAGTGAAAGTGTCGTGCTCATGTAGTTTAGTTCATCGTAATAGTCATCGTCTTTCCCAAACATCAACTCTTTATGATTATCCTCATGATGATCGTTAACCTTGGGCTTTTTGTGGCTTGCTCTATGACCACCAAGCACCTGAAATGAAGGGAAACACCGGTTACATGTCTTGCATTGGTGAACAAACATCACCGCCGCCGAAGAAGGCGGATCCGATGGTGGTTTTCTTGTTTGACCTTGAGACAAAAGAAGTAAACAATTTGCCATATTTGCCATATCTTCTTCAACTTCTTGTTCTCGCTCGGTACTATACCCTTCTGCTAACTCAACAGATGTTGTTGCAGAAACAACTCCGCCGTCACCTCCAGTAGATGTCGTGGTTGTGGTGGTGGTTGAAGCCACCTGCAAAGGTAGAGGAGGTGACGGTGGCCTTGGACGTTTGCTACGTTTGCCTTTGATAATTTGCAACGGATCTTTACAAACAACAACATCATCCTCCCCCTCCATCATCATCATCATCTCTATAATTCAATATAGGAAAAGGTTTTCTATGAGAGAGTTGAAAAAGAATAATTTGGTTTGAAAGTTGAGAGTTTGCAGCCATGGGAGTCATTGTGGTGTGTATATATAATAATAGAGAAGGAGAAGGGTAAGAGAAGAGTGAGATTCGGTTGGCTTTGAAGCAAACCCTTTTGACTTTTGGCGATGATTCCTTCTATAAGAGGGAGGCTTGGATTGGAAGCCTGGAACCACTTAATTTGCGCTTCTCTACACTTCTCTTTATTAAAAAAAAAAAAAAAACTTGCTTGGAGTTTCTGTTAGCCTTTCTTAATACTTCTTGTAATGAACATTGAAGATAGGAATTAAATATTGGACGGTGTGGATAAAATATCAAATTTCAAATTATTATTTACTCTTTAAAAATAAATTTCCAGTTTTTCGTGTGGCCTTATGCGCTAATTTAGTGTCATCGTTTTTCCCCTTGATTTTCTTTTTATTTATAAATAGATAAATGTTTTCTACTTTGGTTTTCATCTTTTCGCATATTCTTGATGTGTTTGTTTTTATTTATTTTTATGACATGTTAATTTTTTTATTTTTAAGATACGATTTTCTCTTTTGTTATAATATTTTGACGTTTCGTGTTGCATTTATCACTGTGCATCTCCTAATCATGAAAGGTCAACGGTCTTTCATTGTTAGATCACCTTCTATGACAATTTATATCGATGCATTCAGTATCTTTCGCGGAACAATCTGTTAGATTGGTTCTTAATCTTCGGACCTACTCAATATTGCATCTAATTTTAAATAGAAACTATGATATTATTGATATTTGTTAGATTTTTTTTTAAAAATGAAATATGTATTCAAAGAAATGTTTTTATTTTATTTTTCTTCATGCCCTTCAAATTTCCATGTTAAAATTTATTGTTTTTATTGTACGTTTTTTTAAATAAAAATCTAGATTGTTTTTCAAAAAATATTACTTTTATTATATTTTAACTATAAAATAAGTACGAACCGAGCGCCTTCAACGATAAATAAATTATTGTTATTCCTTGAGGTCCCGAGTTTGAGCTCCAAAAATGCTAGAAGTGTGAGCATTATAAAAGATACAAGATAAAAGGACATGATACCTAAATCTATAAAAAAAAAATTATATAAAAAATTGTAACATGGAAAATTTAAAAAACTAAAATTTATAAAAAAAAGATTGTTTATTTGAATCTGAAATCTAAATGATTATAAACCTTAAAACTTAAAAACATGATATCTAAATCTTAAATAAAATACTTATCATTAAACATTAAAATAAAAAGACGTGTAAACTAAAATTTGCATAGATTGTATTTAAATAATTTTTAATAAAAGATAATTAAAAAATTACTGCACCAAAGCGACTTACATTGTTAAAAAATTGTTATTATTTCTTGAAATTATGGGTTCGAGCATTACGTATGTAGGGGTGTGTGAGTGTTCAATGTTTTCACCTTAAACTAATAAAAAAATTTACATTAGTAATCAGTTTTAATAAGTACTTCAAAATTAATAATCCATAAAATAATCTAGAGTTCTACTTAAATAATCATAAAAGTACCAATTCGAATGAGATATTACCGTAGGGGAAACGATTGTTCAAACTCCCAAAAATAAAACATTAACTATTTAATGAATATAGAGCAGAATAAAAACAAGAAAAAATGCACTAATTATATTGTGTTAAGCCACTTAATCAAGCAATGTCATGTGAAGTTGACCCACCTAAGTTGTGATTCTTTGACAGACCATAACCCTAAAATCACGCCGTTTATATGATCCAATAATTTCATGTATTTTACAAGCCTGCACTCAATCATTAGGAATTAGAGTGTTGGAATATGAGCTATTGGAATAATTTTATTTTAATGAAAGGTCAAAGCATATCATCTCTCCCTACAGTTGGATAAATTTTGCGATTTGATCCTTACATTTTTAAATCTTACTTTTTCAACTTAAAAATCCTAGTCCGAAGACATCAATACACCCATGCAATCATCTTCATAGTAAATTATTATGAACTCAGTAAAAATAATTTTAATATAAGATATTGTTAATAATTGGACTAGAGCTTTTTAAGATGACTTAATTTTAAACTTTTTAAGTGTATATATATAGGCTAAATCTTAAACTTTATGAAAGTACAAGGAGTAAAGGTATATTTTGACCTCAATATTTTATCGATAATCAATACTAATGCATTCCAATCAATATTGTTCACACCTATACAGTATATAGTTGAGTTGCTAAAAATGGACTAGTGGACTTTAGCAATGTAAACAAAATCGTGAAAAAATAAAAATAAAACCCCATGCATTAGGCATTGATTCATCTCTTAATATTAAATCTAACGTTTAATTGAATTTTTATATTATTTAATATCCAAATACAAGTCATTCTGAATTTACAATACGTATGATATACAAACAGACAAAAACTAAATATGAAATATGATAGATGTAGGAAGATATGCACAATCACATATCTTAGCCATGTTGAATGCAATTTAACCAACTTATTTTGAGAAAAGTCAAAATCCTAAAGACAAATAGATTTGGAAGGATAGGAGAAAGAACGCAAAATTTTATATAAGGGAGTGCGAATTTTTAAGAAATTTTATTAGAAATTTAGAGGGTGTGAGTGTGAAATCATAAAATTTAAGAAAATGCCAAATTAGATCATTAATATAAAAATATAAGGAAAATATTTAAATTATATAGAAACTTAAATTTTTTTAGAAATACGATTATCATCCAAAACCCCTCGAGTCTGTTCCTGAATGGAAGAGATTCTTGGAGTAATGAAATGGATATTTGGAAATTGGAGGAACTAAGAAGGGATCGTGAGAGGCACGTTAGGGTTAGCATCACCATTAGTTACAAGCCTAAAGTAAAGCATCAAATATTCACACTCAATACTTTTTTTTAGGGATTTGTTTGTTGAAATGATAAAAGAAAATGGGATTTCTTTTCCCTTAAATTTGTTCTTTGCTATGTTTTCTGTGTTGTTTTCGTATTCTTCTACTACTTCCACCTCCTTAACTTCCAGTATGTATTCGGATTTCGAATATATAAATGTAAACACTATTTTTCAACCATTCCATTATATTAATAATAATATTATTATTATTATTATTATAAAAATATATTATTCACAACACCCAAACCCGGGCCCAGACCAAACTCAAACTCAGGCCCAAAACTATAACCTAATTTAACCCTAACCCTAAAATATATTCGGTCGTCACCACCGCAAACAAGAATTTCCACTATTGCCACTGATAGTTACTTCAGCCCCCGTGACATCCCCTGACAAGAAATCAACAACCTCAAATTATCATTTCTCACCCAAAATCAGGCTCCACTATGGCAAATTCAACAAAAATCTAGGGAAGTTAAGGCATTAAACGACCTTACCTACTCGAATGGGAGGACATTCCCTGGCATACCCAACATCAACAACCATGCATAGAATGTCAAAATGCACATTAGTTTTTTTTTTTTACTTTTAATCACTATAAGATATAGGGTATAAAACCCGAAAATCACTTGTAAAAAAGGGATCCCCTTTTATTTTTCTTAAGATTAATACAAAGGTAAAAAAATATTCGAAGGTAAAAAAAATAAAGTTTTTGTTTTTTACCAGTTTTGAAACAAAAAAAAAAGAGAAAGAAAGTCGATTAGTTACCTGAGAGGAGAAACCGAAGAGTTGATTCATCTCCACGACCACCGGAGGTAGGGAAGCCGAAGCGTTTAGGGGTTTTTTTTGGGTATTTAGGAGCAATACTTGGTAATTTTGACCCTAGATCTGGGTTTGGGAGAGTCAAACGAAGCATATAGGTTTTTTTGGGTCTGTTTAGGAACTCCGACCACCATGTGTGGTGGTTGGAATGGCGGTCGAGGTTGGCCGAGAGAGATAAAGGAAGGTTAAGAGAGTTTTAGATTTTTTTCTAAAATGGGTTTAAAATGAAAAAAAAAGAAATGTATTTTATAGGGAAAGTTAGGTGTTAATCTCATTTAAGTCCCCCATAGTTAGCCATGTTTTTCCATTTTGGTCACCTACGAGGACCAAATCTGTTATTTATCCTTTTTATATTGCACTCGTTTTGTTATTTTCCTATTTTTACTCATGCTATATATTGATTGGTATAATTGTGTTCATGTCCCATAGTTTTAGCGTGTTTTTGCATTCTGGTCACCTGTATTGATTATTTAATTTTATTTCAATTTTGTTGGATTGATTTTGTAATTTTCACATGTTTATTTAATAGTACATTTTAAGCTTGTAAAAATGAATAATTATTGTTCAATCCCTATTGTTTCAGCGTGTTTTTATATTTTGGTCACTAACATGTTTTATTTTGTTTTGATTTAGTTACTCATTTTTTAGTTTATTTTAATTCAGTCATTTTATTATATGTTTAATTTATTTTTAATCCCTATAATTTAATAAAAATGTGATCTAGTCCCTTATATTTAATTTGTTAGATCTTGATTAAAAATAATGTTTTTTTGTTTGTTTTTGCATTTTTTAATTGTTTGTTTGATACTTCAAAATACATGGTTACTTTATATTTATATTTATATTGATTCGATTTAGTTGGCCTTTTAGAATTTGTCCATGAATTAGGATCTTTAAACTTAAAATTTTATTTAGTAATTAGGGTTTCACCTTATTTTTAATTAGGGAGCAAATATATTCGAGTTTTCGCATAAAATGCTCGATTACTCGAGTCGATTGTTCTAATCCCTAAATTATTAATTATCGACTAATTTTAAAACATATTTAGTTCAATCCCTTAATTTTTAATAGTTAATTAGCACAATTATCGGAGCTTTGATTTATTGGTTAGTCCTTAAACTTTTGGTATTATAGATTTAGACTTTCTACTTTAGACTTTTACACTTAGGTCCCTAGACTTTAGTTTCCTTGCATTTTAGTCCTTAAACTACTAAGTATAACTTTAAATTAACATA